TTTCACTAATTGATACTATTGTGAAATATCTTTAAATAAAAAAAAAGGGGGGAAAAAGCCTTTTCAAGAATCCTGCAAAAAGATGAATAATACAGCAAAACTTTTTTGTTGTTGTTGTTCAGGAGTGACTTCATGAACAAGGAGCAAAAGACAGAAATAGAGCAGTGGGGAAAAAAAAAAAAAAAAAAGGCTGCCATTGATGTGTCATGAATATACGTATCTGTACCTAAAGAATCCTCAAGGAATGTTTCTGTCCAAAAGGTAGTCAGCTTACATGAATTATAATATCCTTCTTACCATCAGCCTTATCAGGACTGGGAAGTTCAGAGATGTGAAATGAAGTTAGGTACCTAAAGTCCACATAGGGTCTAGATGCATGTGCATCTTCACAGTAAATGGTAGATCACTAAAATTTGTATGTCCAAATCCTCAGAGTTCTTTGAAAATCAATGGCCACAAGCTTGCTAGAACAAGGCATTAATGGGGAACTGCCTGTATGTTTTGGGTGGTACTAGTCAATGATGGGTGAAATCGAATGTGCCACCCTGAGCAATGCTTTCCATAAAGATTGGTGTAAAATTGGAGATACATCCCTGTACAGAATCCCTGAAGAGCTCTGTGCAGCTGTACTGGTTTTTCTCAGGTAGCAGTGAGACTGCACATCCAGCATATCAGATGCACTGCAGTACAGCATTCAGACCTCAACTTCTGCTAAAAGGAAAGCTGAGCAAAATATATGGTCATTAAATGAAATTTCCTTTTGGTCTTTTAGGTCTTAAAGCTGATGCATATCTTTCTTGTTTTGGGAATTGGACAACAAACTGTTTGTAGCTTCTCATCTTGTCCTACAGTCAGATGTTGCTTTTGCTTAAATTACAGATGAAAAAGAATTTTTCAGGCTGGGAATGATCATAGAATATCAGCTCTAACATAATACAACTTTGTTTATTTAATAATTGCCCCTAGACGGTTGTGATTATATTTTGTTGAAGGCAGTTATTACATCATGTCATGCTGCAATATTATACCCAATCCTGATCTGCTGCTTTACGGTGACAACTAGTCATCACTTTGGAATTAGGCTAGCTTTAAGATTGAATTGCATTATGACAATAGATTACCTATGTTAAAACACAGTGAGAAAGTCAGCTTTCAATTGACAAGGTAGTGTGAGAGCTAACAAGACCCTATTTTTAATCTGAGAGAAGTACCTACCATTCAGTAAGAGACTCTAGCAATGCATTTTGTCCTTTCACTTTGTAACTGAATTGTCTTATCATAGAGAAAACAATTCAGACTTCATTTGCAGAGACTATCTATCTTGAACCCTAAATTTATAAATAATGTTTATAAATGAAAATTGTTTAAGTCTTACTCATTGACTGGAAACCCACCATTTAAGCCTATATAGAACAGGTAATGGTTTGAAATAACAATCTTCTGTCCCTCTTTACAGTAGCTCAGTGTGCCTTAGGCTTTATCATTTCCAACTACCTCATAAGGAGAACTACACAGACTTCCTGAGACCCTCTGGCTAATAACTGAAAGTTATATAAAAATGTGTTTGCAACATAAGACATACCCAGGACATATTCTGTCACATAAATGAATCACCACTTAAAATTAGGAAAAATTATTTCCAGCATTAACACTGCTCATGACAGCCTATTTTGGCAGCAAAAAATTTCACAAGATATATATTTTAAAACACTGTGCAGCTCTGTCTTATATAGATTCTCTTCTCCCACCCTAGTGCTTGAGTGCCTTCCAGAAGCACATTAAGCAACATGACTAATGTCTGTCTCATCTTCGTTCTTTTACTTTGTGCTGAAATATTACATTATTTTTCAAAAACTACCTGCAAGTTGATGAAATATCATCTTTGCAATGAACATAAAATCTTTAAATTACTGTGAAGACCATGTAAAAACTCAACCTTTGCAGAAGCAAGTACAGTTTCTCCTGATGTAACTGGACAAGTGCCCAGTTATGCCAGAAAACAGTCTCTGTATGTAAGCATCACAAAACAGGCTACCTTCTTGATGTATGGAAGATTTACAGACTAAAAAACCAAGTGATCCTTCACAGCAGCATTCATTTTTCTGAATGGAAGTTGATTGAGAATTTTTCTAATTATTACAATAGGGGAGATGCCTTTTACTCTGGAACTAAAAAGGTATCCAATTTTGTAGTTGTTGCTGCTCTATTGTCCTGATCCTGCATAGGGTTACTGATGCAGATAACTCTCTTGAACTGTCTTTTGTACCAAAGTGTAAAGAAGACTAACGGTCTAACTTTTTAATGGCATAATAACTTACTCTAAGGAATAGCTCTCAAAGACTAGAGACCTATGAGAAGAATAAAAATTAAATAAATCTACTGCTATTTAGAGAACATTAGCTTTCCTATAAAATGCATTCGTATAGTGTCACATCTGGACTAGCATGAAATTTAAGCTTGTGGAGTGACTGATAATGTTTGCACCACAGTATAAATTAAGATTGTGACCAGCATGGACCACATTGTGCTAGATGCTGTAGAAGCACAGAATAAATGTCTACCCTTCCCTGAAAAGCTTGGTTGGCCTCTAACAAACTGACTGTGAGATGGCTAAATAAAATAATACCCCCCACAAAGAAATAGTAGGCTAACAATCTCAGACAAGAGGAGCTGTCAGCAATCTTGGTTATGGTATTCTGTGACTGACTTATCCAGTAGCATGGCCTTTTAAGATAAACAGTGGGACTCCCAGAATAGCTATGGATTGGGAGGAGCCAGCATGTGAATTGTTTACAGCAGACCCCAGCATACAGAGCCTTATGGGAGAGAAGTCAATGGTCCTGGATTCATTGATTTCATTATTGTCTTTCCCAGTTATTGTTAAATTGCACTGGTCTGAAATTCTGGCTTCAACCTAAAAACAAATTTTAATTTGAGCTCCAAGTTCTCTGCCATCTTTTTGCCTTCCAGACTATATTATTAGAGCTAAATGTATGCAGCAGTATAACCAGTGTGCATTATTTCTTAGAAGAAGAAATGCTGAATGTATAAAATAGTAATCAGGATGATTCAGACATCAAGGATACCACCAGGTCAGGGTTAGCAGTGAAAAACAGCTTTGTTTTGCTTTTCTTTTAAACAGCTTTGTCAGAATTACTGGATAATTTGGAAAAACAACAAAGACTGTATCTTGTGGACCTCAAGCTATTCTATTTGGCAACAAAGAATAACAAGGGTTTCTTTTTGGTTGGGGGTTTTGTGGGGTTTTTTGCTTTTCTCTGAATAAACAATATTTGGCAAATATGTATTCTTTTCCAGATGGAATTTATTCCATATAAAGATTTGTGGTTTTAATGACAGTTTAGACATTGATACATTTATTAGAATATATTTTCCCTGTAATAAATGCTTTGATGTAGCAAGTATGTTCTCTGTGTTCTGTGTATACGTTTTCATGATAGTCCCTTTGCAGTTATCTGGGAGATCAAAGACTGCAGGTCCACACAATTTCTGCCAAAAAGAAGAGGCTCTTTCCTTACTGAATCCTTGTAGACTGGTCTACAGTGTTCAGTGAATTCTTCTTTCAGCTGATCACAGTTTCAAATCCTCAAATTTATTGTATATTTTTTTCTTACATAGTCTTAATTGTCATCTTGTCTTTACAGTCGTTCTGTATTTCTACGTGTCACTGTAGCCACAGCAGGGCCATATGTTAAAAGAATATACACATTATTGCATTAGCCAAGACTGTAAGAAGTCACATCCCTGAAGTTAGCACACACAGAAGTGACTATGGGCAATGACCACGTATTTAGAATCTGGTATCCCAGAGTTGGCTGCATGATGACTCCTGCATCAGTATGAATCATTTAATCACAGCAAATATATGTGTTTTGCCAAATGTGTTGCCATCTCTGCCTTGCTGTCTGCAATGGCCCATTTACAGGCCACAACAGTCATTAAAGTCTTTTCCAAAGGAGGTTTAAGAAAGTTGACAAGCAGACCCTGTATGAAGATGGGATCTAAAAACCAGAAGAAGCTATGCCCACTTTTGTTAGATGTGTTTAAAGAACTACTGTACATGCTCAGTGAATTTCTTGGGGAAAACCTAAGCATCAAATGGCAGTTAAAGGATCTTAACAGAAGAAATTATTACATATTTCCATTGTAACCTATGGGCTTGGTTTCCAGTAAGAATAAATTCCAAAATTTATAAATATGTTATGGTTTGGGTCTGACTAGATAAAAGGCACAGAATCAGTAAAGTCTGAAATCCTTTCAAAAAAATATAAGGTCTACTTTTCATAACCAACAACCAACACAAAATGAAATTAGTGGGTTGGTTGTGACGTGACTAGTGGAGGGTTCAAGCACTGTTCTTCAGTAGAGTAGCAAATCACTGAAAATACTGACATTTTCTTAGTATTACCTAGACATGTAATACTTTTAAGAGGATTCTGCTCATTTCCACTCAGGTCTCTTTCAAATTATATTCAAGAACATTTGCAAATAAATTTTCAGATTTAATTCCATAATGTTCTTCTACATTGTGAAAACTTTAGTAAAATGGAACTTATAATTCACTAGCTATTCTAAAATCATTAAATTTTCAGTTAAATTGTCATATTAATGACTTTACTTTTAGCTCAGAAGATTTAGTATAGTGGCTATGGAGGACATTGCAAGGGATGGGGATTGCTATGTTCAAATAGTACACAAAGAAGTGGAACTACCCTCACTGAAGTTCTTTTAAATGGATTTTTCATGTTCATGCTTATAGATTCTGCATCGTTCTACCTTGTTGGGGAATTCAGGTTATACTCTATTTTTCTTTACCTCTAAATAAAATTATTTCATATCTAAATAGATGAATTTCACTAGTAAAGCATTATGGTAACAGCATATTATGACAAACTTTGCTAATGGTAACATAGGAGTGTAATCAGAAAACCCTTCCTACCTTATTAATATATGTTAACACCTGCTTGTCTTCCCTACAGAATTTTTCCGAGAACTTCTGGAGAACGCAGAAAGATCCTTAAATGACATGTTTGTCCGGACATACGGCATGCTGTACATGCAGAACTCAGAGGTGTTCCAGGACCTCTTCACAGAGCTGAAGAGGTATTACACAGGAGGCAATGTGAACTTGGAGGAAATGCTGAATGATTTCTGGGCTCGGCTGCTGGAGCGGATGTTCCAGCTCATAAACCCCCAGTACCATTTCACTGAGGACTACTTGGAGTGTGTAAGCAAGTACACAGACCAGCTGAAGCCGTTTGGAGATGTACCCAGGAAGCTGAAGGTTCAAGTGACTAGAGCGTTCATTGCTGCACGGACCTTTGTTCAGGGGCTGACAGTAGGCAGAGAGGTTGCAAACAGAGTATCCAAGGTAATCTAAAATCAGGGGGGTTTTAAGCTTGAATGTGTTTCAAATTTGCTAGACAGTTGAAATCTGATTGTGCACTTTTTTTTTTTTTTAAATATGGGGGGTGGGGTGCATTTAGTTGGTTGTTTTTTATGCCTACTGATATACTCATCCTAAATTTATAAATCGGGGCAACAGTTGTTTTCAATTCCTTCTGGAGATATTAAGGTAATACTGACTGGAAAATGTTTCTCTGTGCTTAGGACACAATGATATACCAATATACATCAATGTTATAGCATGGTAGTGGTTGTCATTAGGAATTCAAAACCAGCTACATATATAAAAGAAGATGATTATGATCAGAATTTAAATGTTTCAAGCAAATTTATGCTGCTGTTCACTAGGGCAGTACAGCCCTCACAGCATTCATTCATCATGCAACTGGGTGATGGATTTTTTTAGAAATGTCTAGTCATGTTTTTGAGGAGAAAATAGACGAACAGTGACACCTCTAGAGCTTGAGCTCTCCCAAAGGATGGTTTGACTCATATTTATTTTAGTTTTAATTATTTGTCTATGCAAATACTTATGACAATTATAATCCTTGAGGGTTTCACATGATTAAAGCTATGTAAGAAAAAACACACACAAAAATAACCCATCTGGGTACCAGAAATGTGCCTGCATTACTTTCACTTATACAGTGTTTCAAACTCAGGTTTATTTTTCTGAATTTCTGTTCCGACTAGTTATTTGTTCTGCGATCTGGCTGTTTCACAGTCCTCGTAGTGTATTTGGACCTTAAGTATATTCTGAATTCTGAAATGCTCTAGTGAGATGCACTATGAAATGCCCAAATATTCAGTTCTAAACAGTAGGTGCATGCATGATTTTGGTGCTTGTCCTATGCAATACTTTTCTGCACTTACAAGCTTAAGCCATTCCTCTTCCTCAAGAACACTGACTCACTTGCTTCATTTAAAACAGAGCCAGAAGATGAAGTAGAGGTAGAGCTGGTATATTGTACAGTAGTCTGCAATTCAAGAGCTCGACGAGATGAGTCTTCTAAACTCTACTTATTCTGTATGGTATGATATTTTGCAATTACAAATTCAGAAGCCATGAAATCAGGGAGGTAGTCATCAAGTGAGAGCCTGATTTTATGCCTAGGAGACTGCATGGGAGGAAAGGGTCATTTTGCACTTAAAAGTCAGTGAATGAAATACATGATCCCTTTTACTCAGCTAGAACCAAGCTCTCTTCCTGCCATGTGTCTTCCTGGACTATACGGTTGCCTTCCCTTTGTTTTCTGGCACTGTCAATTCTTGCAGTCCTTTATGAACAGTGGCAGGGCATCAATATGAAATCCCAGCCCGCCTAGACCGGTTGGGGGCAGATATGGCTGTTTAGCCTCCAAGTGTGCAGAACACATATATCTGCAACCCCAGATTTCATCTGAAGAGAAGTGATGTCCCTGTGGATCAGGTTTTAAGTGAAAGTGCTGAGCTCTGATGTCACTGTTGTCAGTAAGCATTAGATCTTGCGGCATCAATTGAATCAGACTGTAGGGAGTAAACTATTTAATTCATGTAATGGATGTGTAATTTGTGAATCTCAAACAGATTAAGGTATGAATTGTCTGCTGAGATGTCACTTTCCCTATGTATATACATGGCTGTACAGAAGGCGCAGGTGTCTCCCTTCCCATATACCCAGGAAATGTTTTCATCTCACCTGCTGGGTTTTGGGCACGTAAGATCTTTCAAGGATATGATTTATCACAAGATCGCTCAATGATCCTGTGATCCTGCTAGCTCTGTCATCATAAGGTGAACCTTTTTGTAGTGTCACTTGAAGATGATAACCATAGTTCAATAATGCTTCTGTTTTTTTCTTTTAATGTGAAAGCAGCACTTTAAAACTGCTTGGTGGTTGATGAAAGATACAGTACAGATTCTTTGCTTTATATATACATAAATAGTGATACTCTATTAAACTCCATCTAGAATACTGTGTTCAGTTTTGAACCTTTCCCATACAAGAAAGACATTGTCAAACTGAAGCAAGTTCAGTGGAGGCCACCAACCTGAGCTTGAATACTGGCAGGGTTGAGGCATCTAACACCTCTCTGGGCAACATGTTCCATTTTTTCAACAACCTCATCATAAAAAATGTCTTCCTTATAGCTAGTCTAAACCTATCCTCATTTCGTTTAAAACCATTACCCCTTGTCCTATTGCTACAGGCCCTTCTAAAATGTTTGTCCGCATCATTCTTATAAGCCCCCTTTAAATATTGAAAGGCTGCAATAAGGTCTCCCCGGAGCCTTCTCTTCTCCGGGCTGAACAACCCCAACTCTCTCAGCCTGGCCTCACAGGGGAGGTGCTCCATCCCTCGGATCATTTTTGTGGCCTCCTCTAGACCCGCTCCAACAGGTCCATGCCTGTCTTGTACTGAGGACTCCAGAGCTGGATGCAGTACTCCAGGTGGGGTCTCCCCAGAGCAGGGTGGAGGGTCAGAATTACCTCCCTCAATCTTATGGATTTTCTAGGGTCATTATCGTGTGAACCTATTAAAAGATGAATGAAATGAACATTTTTACTTAAATGTAGAATATGCCTCGATTGCAAGACTGACTTTGGTATTAAAATCTCAGTGGCTATATTCATACCCATAGCAAATGGTAAACACTTGCTGCTTTTAGGGGCTTTGTGTCGTACGCAGCCTGGTGAGGCAATTGTGAAGAACCTCAAGTGACACCAAATGTTCAAGATTAATAAATAACCCGTGGAAAGGCTGTGATTACTCTGAGAACCAAGCTTTCATGATCATATCATAACTGTGGATTTTTATGCTAGTCTACCTACTGTAGAAAATGACAAATCCTTTTCTTTAAACATAATTTTAAAAGACTGCAACCATTCCTTAGAGTTAGCACATAACTTTGCAACCAAAAAAGAGGCAGGTAGATATTTTCTGTTGCTGATTTGAAAATCATCCAGATTCAGCATGGATTTAATTTTCATTGTACTCTAATGTTGACAGATTCTGGGATAAGAATGCTACATCTGGGTAAATCAAGGGAAATTAAAAAACAAAAAATAGAAAATGAAAAGAAGAACTTTTGCAGTTCTTTTACAGAAATCTTTGTCCATTGTCTGCTCTGGCTGGGAACATGAGGGGATCTCCTAGCTGCAACATCACAAGCTAAAAAGATTTGTTGCTTTCTATTTGTGGACCCGTTATCTCACCGAGCTGACACTGTCAAAGGCCACTCACATACAAAAACATTGAGCCTACACCTTAAACACCATGAGAAAGGGATTTATTAATGAGAAAGTTGGTAACAACATCTCCTTTGGATCTTTAATTTACTTTCTCGGCCTCTTTGGCCCATTTCTGTAGAGGAGTTGGTGGGTCACACACTTAGAAGGATTTGTTCCCTATCTGATGTCAGGAACACATCCTTTCTGAAGATTTCTCATCAGAGAGGGTGTAATGTTGGTACTGACTGAAGACAATGCAATCAATGTATTCCTTGCAAAGGACACATACTCCCCTCTTTTTCCAATGAAGTATGCACTCAAGCACACTCAAAATAGGCAACACATATCACAAACATTTTCCTCTTACAATAGTATTTTGCAATTTGCTTATGTAAGTGAGATTAGAATTTAGATAAATTAAGAAGGGGAATGGTTAGGACATGTCTTTTTCTTTGTATTTTTTCCTAATAATATATTATAATTGTAAGCAGACATATTTGTGTTCCATCTATCTGAAGTTGTGCAATTTTAGTTCAACAGTATTTTCATCATCTCAAAGTCCAATCACACTTTTTAATTTTCAAATATTTTCAAATATTTTTATTTTTCACACTAATTTATTAAAAATTTGTCAGTCTGTTGCTAAGGGCTTGTTAAAACTCCACTCAGTGCAGTACATTTCTACTGGCTTGAGTAGACTTCAGCTCACTAGATTCTATATATGCTTTGGAAAGCTGCGTAGGCATATGGACAAAAAATAATTACAGTAATTATTTAAGTGAGAAAAACAAAACCTATTTATTCATTAATAGAGCAGAATTATAGAATATCTCAAGTTGGAAGGGACCCATAAGAATCATCATGTCCACCTCCCTGCTCCTCACAGGACTACCTAAAACTAAATCATATGACTAAGAACATTGTACAGACGCTACTTGAGCTCTGACATGCAACTTCCCTGGGGACCCTGTTCAGGGACAAACCACCCTCTCAGTGAATAACCTTTTCCTAATGTCCAGTCTGAACTTCCCCTGACACAGCTTCAATATATAATATTCAATTTGTAACATAAAACCTTCCATTTGGGGCACACCAAAAGTCTGTTTAGTTGATTTTTACTTCAATGCCCAGTAGCTTAAAGGTCACTACAGGAGCAGAGCTTCTCTTCTAGTACACTTTCTTAAGCCATAGCTAGTAGATGTTCATGGACTTTCTGAGCTACAGGCTCAGAAACAATTGGTAAAATTTTCTACCACTTGTTTTTATACTAACGTAGCAGATCCTAAAATAGTTTTTTCTGTTTTGTTGCTTTTTGGTGGAAAAAAAAATGTCCTATCCTTTTCTTTTCCCCCATAAAACTATAGGATATTCAGATGTTAATGTTTTTAAATACATTTGGTTTTTCTCAAATTTTCCTGGAGGAAAAAAAAGAAAAACACAAAACCCCCTAAACCTTACTGACCAGCTGTGATTTAGTATTTAATGTAAAACTGAAGAAACTATTGAAGATATTTCTGAAGTTACTGCCAGCTGTGATTTCCAATAATATGATAGAAAAGATGTATACATATTTTTCATATTCATCTTTTACTATGTCTGAGCTCTGGATACTTTACAAGAAAATAATGCTAAGTTATTCTCTCTGACTCTAACCAAAACATACTTAGTGACCATAATATACCCTTTGAACTGTCACTGAGTGCTGGAAAATGTAAGCAAAAAAACAAAAGGGGATGATAAAACAATTAAAATTTA